TGCGGGACGGGGTGTGTTAAAAGTCGGCAGAGGCAGCGGCTGAGGGACGGCAGAGGCAGAGGCCGAGTAAAGCTGAAGCAGAGTGTGAATGAGAAAAGTGAAAGGAACAATAAAAGCTGCGGGACGGGGTGGGTTTATCCACTGGAAATTAATTTCTTCATTGTGGCTATAATAATGATCCAATCTGATCCCAATTTGGTGATTTGGATGATCGCATTTTTAGTTTTCTTTTATCTTCAAAATTGTAGGTTTGGGAGGTTTTCGCCCTTTTGCGGGGGCGGAAGGGGGGCGGGGCTAATTTTTGAAATACACTGGTTTCAGTGTGAGCATACAGCAGTCTGGAGCCAACATTTGGTGGCTCTAGCTCTTATAGTCTCTGAGAACTAGCCGACAAACAAGACGGACAGACAGACATGGCTCTATCGACTCGGCTATTGATGCTGATCAAGAATATATATACTTTATGGGGTCGGAAACGTTTCCTTCTGTGCGTTACATATAACCGTTATTCACACAAATACAATATACCATATTTACTCTTCGAGTACCGGGTATACAAAACAACAGAACCACACGGAAAATAATGGGTACAAACTTTTCAACACAGAACACACAAAAATGAAATATAAAACAGAAAAATACTATGCAAAGAAATACAAATACAATATATGTACATGATATATAAATATGGGCCCCACAGATCGAATATTAATCTGTGGCACGCCCGATTATGGGTTTTTTACCATTGACATTCTTCTTCTATGCATAAACCAATCGATTTCTACTGTATACTCTGTGTGGCAGAGATAAACTCAACAGTGTGGTGAGGGTTAGTAAATAATAATAATTAAATATATATATACGTACATCAGGCAGAATGCAGTCATAAAGGCATGGCTCCAAATGACAATATAATTGTTATCAGAAATATGTTAAGGGTTTAAGTATTGACTTGAGAGTTTGCTTAGGTTTGGTATTTAGATGTGTTCCAAAATTACAAGTAGAAAATCAAGGAGAAGGGACGTGTGAGACACTTCTTACGCGTCAAAACTTTTATGGCCGACACTCAGTACTACATCTGTACCATAGCGGTTTTTTCAAATTGTACATTTATCTTCATCTGTCATCTACACTACACGAAGCAGAGTGTGAATGCGAGAATGTGCAAGAAATAAAAAAAACTGCTGAACGGGGAGGGTTTAGCCACAGCAAATAAAATTCTTCATTCTGGCTATAATAATTATCCAATCCGATCCCAATTCAGTGATCTGATAGGTATACCGTAAATTTTTCGCGATTTACGGGGGCGAGGCTCATTTTTTAAATACACTTGTAACAGTACCAGGTATACAAGTTGTGACGCGTAAGAAGCGTCTCACACGTCCCTTCTCGTTTTTCAAATACGCTGGTTTCGGTGTGAGCTTACAGCAGTCTGGAGGCAACATTTGGTGGCTCTAGCTCTTCTAGTCTCTGAGAACTAGCCGACAAACAAGACTGACAAGACTGGCACGGACGGACGGACAGACATGGCTATATAGACTCGGCTATTGGTGCTGATCAAGAATACATATTCTATGGGGTCGGAAACGTTTCCTTCTGTGTGTTACATATGTACATACACTTTTTGCACAAATAAAATATACCCTATTTACTCTTCGAGTAACGGGTATAAAAATACCAAGAAAGTGGGAAAATGAATGTGTAAGAGTGGATAGAACAGAGATTGGTGCGTTGGTGTTAGTGTTAATGTGTTATGTGAAAAGATTAGTTAAATAGCTCAAGAAATTTTTTCCGAAAAGCGTAAATAGGAGTGGGAAAATTAACATCAGTAGGAAGCCATGCCGATTTAGGACTGTAGGACGACGCTTGATCGACTTTCGAGCAGGACGTCCCATTTTGCCCTTCATCTTTCTAAGTTTTCCCTCCATCTCGTTTCGCGTTAGGCTTACGTGCAGTTCTTCTATCTTATTTTTTCGCTTCCTGGTATTTGGCCTGCAACACCTGACAGTTTTGTTGGAGGGTGCTCCGATCGGGTAGTCCCTCCTCCTCAGCAGATGCCGTATAGGTGGCATTGAGGCGTTCCATAGCGTCCGCCAGATCTTTTTTGGTGACATTTAATTGCTGGCTTAACTGAATTTGGAGCTCCTCCGAGGTCTTTTGCTGGGCAGTCATGTTGACTTGTAGGAAGGCATATCTGTTTTCAGACTCCTCGAGTTGATCTTCGTACAACTTGAGCTGCTTGTTGTGTTCGTCCTGCTGCTTCAGAAGATTTGATTGCAGTTCCATTTTCACTTGAAGAATTTCCTGGAGGGTACACTGGAGGAGTTTTGCTTGCTGTTTGAGTGATTTATTTTCCAATTTATGTGCATGTTCGATAGTCGCCATGAGTGCGCGTCGTGATTGCAATTCCATCTGCAAGCACAGCTGCTCCTGGTTGGCAGCTTCCAGTGCTTGGCCATCTTCAGCTATCTTGACTTGTAGCTGTGCTACTTCCCCGTCGTGTGTCTCCGTTTGGTGTACCAGCTGTTCGAGACGCTGATTGGTTAGCATCAATTGCAAGTTGAGAGAACCAATCTCCAGATTGAGGTGTGCTTCTTTCTCATCGGTTTTGTTGATCAAAACATTGAGGTCCTTTCTGACAGTACGTTCGGATTTGCGCATCATTTCCTTTTCCTTGCGCAGGGCTTCTATTTGCGCATCCTTCTGCTTAAGTTCTTCTTGCATATTTTCTTGCTGCTTCTGCTGCTGCTCCAGCTTCTGCTGAACGCGGGACAATTCCTTTGTGTTCTGCTTTGTAGCCTCCATCAGGGTGTCACGCTCTTTCAGCAGCATCGCATAAGACTCGTTTTGTTCATCGAGTTTTTGCCGACAATTGGCCAACATCAGATCTACATTAACAAGCTCCTTCTGATGCTGCTCATCTAGGGTGTTTCTTTTCACGAGCAGTAGATCCTTATAGTCCTTTATGATCGTAATTGTTTCAGCATCCTGTTCGGTTTTTTTTTGCAGATCAATTAGTTCTCGATGAAGCAGCTCCTTCTCCTTGGTCACATTATTAGCTTGAGCAAGCATCTTTTGAAATTCGGATAATTCCATCTTGTGCTGCTTTGCAACCTCCATCAGGGTGTCACGCTCCAGTTTCAGGTCGTTGAGTTCCTCCATTCGGTTCTCATACTTTTTCAGCAGCAACGCATGAGAATCGTTTCGATCGTCAAGCTCTCGGCAACAATTCGCCAACTTTAATTCAATCTCAATGCGCTCATTTTCATACTGCACATCTCGGTTGTTTCGCTCAAAGAGGAGTTGTCCGTAGTTCGTCTGTGATTCCCTGTATTTTTCTTCTAAGGCATCAATTTTCGAACGCATCTCCGTCATGGAAATGTTAGAGCTTTCAACCAAGTCCTGGCGCTTGCGTTCATTCTCATTGGTTTCGGCTTCGTTAGCGAGGCTCTTCTTTAAAATTGATTCGTATTTTTGGCGCCACTCTACAACTTTAGCCTCCATTTTCTTTAGATTCGTAGCGTTTTGTGCATGTCCTAGCGCCAGTTCATGAGACAAGTTTCTCGCCTGCTCCATGTCCTGCTGTGCCACCAAATAGGCATTCATTTGTTCATTATCTTCTATGTGGCGTGCAGGCTGCACAAGGCTTTCCTCTAGCTCGATTGTGTTAGCAGTCAGTGCATCGATAGAGCTTTGCAATTGCGAGCCATTCATCCTGTGCTCCTCCACGCTGTAAGTTAACTTTGCACAATCACAAATCGGTAGCGGTGAATTGCCACTCGTGTGCGACGGCGTCTCTGTCGGTGTCTGTGGACTTGCTGTGTCGAGTGTTACTGGTGTGCCCGGAGTTTGGGGAATGCTGGCAACAACGGTGTGACTATTGGATATGCTTGTATCAGGCGAGGCAATGTTACGCGGATGCACAAATTTCGGTGATGTTTGTAAGGCGTCTTTCAGGCAGTTACGTGTTATCTTTTGACTATCAACTATGTGCCTTAGAAACGATGCTATCGACCTTTGCATGGATTCCGAGAGCTCTGTGCATATAAGTTGATATTTCTCGCTTTTTTTGATTACACAGGCGTAGTGCAGCATCAGTGTATAGACCATCAGATGGTCGGTGCGATCAAGATTGCCACTTCTGTCCAGATTGGGACAGAAGTCTGGATAAACATCTGGTGAAAGGGGATACACAAAAAAAAAAGGAAATCAGCAAGAGAATCGCAAAACAATTACATTTTATAAGATAAATCTCACCTTTCAAAAATTGTATCAACGGTGTGGCTCGATCCGAACCCTGTGTCGAGACCGTGTCTAGAAAGATTTCCATATGATCATACTCCAGATAACGAAGAAAAAATATATTTATATTGGATTGTTCGAGGGTCAAAAAATGTTCGTCCACGAAACCACATTTCTGTACCTGTAAGTGGATTATATTGAGGATTAGCATTGGATTTATTGTTTCCCTTTTCCCCAAGGCCATCTTTCCCTCCCACTTCCACCCTACCCACACACACGCATTTATGCTCAAGGACAAGACGCACACATACACGCACATACGTAGGTCAGAAGAAGAGAGAGAGAAGGACTTCCGAGGTGCTACAGATGCCTGGAACCGGGGCACATCGCGAGCAGCTGCAGGAGCACAACGGATAGGAGTGGCTGCTGCATTAAATGCGGCGAGCAGGGGCACAAAGCCGCAGCCTGCACAAACGAGCCATCATGCTTCATTTGCTCGGCAGCGGGAAAGAAGGAGTCCAGGCACCAGGCAGGCAGCAAAAGCTGCACGGCCGCGTTCAGCAGGGTCGGTCAACGCAGCAAGACATGCGGTTGATCCAGCTCAACCTGAATCACTGCAGGGCCGCGCAGGACCTCCTGCAACAGACGGTGCGTGAGCGGGGATCGGAGGTGGCAATCCTCAGCGAGCCTTATAGGGCTCCCAGCTGCAGCAACTGGGCCACAGACCGCTCGGGCAGAGCAGCGTTGTGGACATGCGGAGTGGAGACGCCCCAGATCGGCGACATAAAGTCGGCCGAGGGGTTCGTTCGAGGCAAAGTAGGCGGGATGTGGGTCTATAGTTGCTACCTGGCGCCCAGCCTCCCGCTGGAGACCTTCAGCCGCATCATAGNTGCTTCCTCAAGCTGTGCGACGCCGCAGAGGAGGACCCCTGGGGAGGCGCCTACAAGATGGTGGTAAAGAACATCAACGCCGGAAGCAGAGCCCCGACAGACCCAGTAGTGCTGGAGGGGATAGTTAGGACCTTGTTCCCGCAAGGGCGGCCCATAACAACATCCCCGAGCCCAGAGCACAGCCTGGACGACATCCGCGAGGTCACGGAGGAAGAGGTGCTGCGGGCAGGCAGAGACCTGAACCCCAAGAAGGCACCGGGGCCGGACGCGATTCCCAACCGAGCGACGAAGCTGGCACTAGCGCTGATCCCAAGCGAGGTCATGGGTCTGTTCAACAGATGCCTACACGAGGGTACGTTCCCATCGAGGTGGAAGAGGCAACGGCTCCTTTTGCTGTCCAAGCCGGGCAAGCCGCCGGGCGAGGCATCCTCGTACAGGCCCATCTGCCTCCTGGACACGATAGGGAAGGTCTTTGAGAAGGTGATCGCCACGAGGCTGAGCGCAGCCATCGAAGCAGCAGGCGGCCTATCCCCGGAGCAATACGGGTTCAGGAAGGGGAAGTCGAAGCTGGACGCCATCTCCAAGGTGGTCAAAACGGCAGAGGAAGCATGCGCTGGTTGCAGATGGAGAGGAGGATCCAAATCCTACTGTCTCGTGGTGACACTTGACATAAGGAACGCCTTTAACTCGGCAGATTGGAGCCGCACGCTAGAGGCCCTACAGCGGTTCAACATACCTGGTTACCTACAGAGGATAGCGCGTAGCTACTTCAGCGACAGGGTGCTGACGTACGAGACCAGTATGGGTTCCAGGGCATAAAAAGTCTCAGCCGGAGTCCCTCAAGGCTCCGTTTTGGGACCCCTGCTCTGGAACGCCATGTACGACGGAGTCCTGAGACTCCCGATGCCAGCCAACACCAGCATGGTGGGGTTTGCGGATGACGTCGCCATAGTAGTGGTGGCCAAGCACCTTGCCGCAGTGGAGGAGCTCGCCAACGCGGCCGTCCGAGCCGTGGAGTCGTGGCTTACGGTCGCCGGATTGGACCTGGCAGCGCAGAAGACCGAGGCGGTGCTCATATCGAGCCGGAAAGCTGTAGAGACTGCAAGTGTGCAGGTCGGTGGCACCACGATACTCTCGCAGAGGGCAATCAAGTACCTCGGGGTGCTCATCGACACTCGCCTCTCCTTCAAGGAGCACTTGGAGTACGTGCAGAGGAAGGCCAGCGGAACCGCAGGAGCGCTCTCACGGATGCTCCTCAACACCAGAGGTCCGAAGCAGGCAACGCGGAAGCTCCTGACGAGTGTTGTGACGTCGCAGATCCTGTACGCAGCGCCCGCGTGGGCGAAAGCCGCTCAGGTAAAGACCTACATGCGAGGCGTTGAGGCGACGTACAGGCTGTGTGCCCTACGAATAGCGTGCTCGTTCCGGACTGTGTCGGACGAAGCCGCGCTAGTCATTGCGGGGCAAGTCCCACTCAGGGAGCTAATAAGGGAGAGAGCGGAGATCCATTCAGCCGTGCAGGGCGAAAGCGATGCGACAAGAGCAGAGCTGAAGGCTGCAGCGAGGAGGAACAGCATCAGCAGATGGCAGAACCAGTGGGACAGGTCAACTAAGGGGCGCTGGACTTACACCCTCATACCGAAGCTGCAAGCCTGGATGGAGAGGAAGCACGGCCGGGTAGATTTTTATCTCACCCAAGCGCTTAGCGGTCATGGCTGCTTCCGCAGCTACCTCAAGCGCTTTGGCCACGAGACGGAGGACTGGTGCCCAGAGTGCGGCACCGGCATAGTGGAGGATGCACAGCACGTCCTCTTCGAATGCCACCGGTTCGACCACGAGCGACACCGCATGGAGACAGCAGTAGGCGCCAGGATCTCCTCCGAGACCTTGGTGCCGATCATGCTGGCCGAGCCAAGGACATGGGAAGCGGCCGCAGAGTTCGCCTCGAGCGTTATGCGAACGCTGAGAGCATTGGAGAGGAGTCGTAAACAGGAGGCGGAGTAGGAGCCTTCGAGCGTGCGAAGCAATGCTTTGCGGCAGTACCGCGCGCGACGGGCGCCCACTCCCACCAGAAAATACGGCCCTCATTATGAGTATACCCACTAGTGTAAGAAGTATTATTTTTATTATTATATTTAAAGTATTATTAAAGCTAGATAATTAATTAGAAGGATTAAACAAATGAATACAAAAAAAAAAAACATACGTAGGTCATATGGTCATGCGTTGGCCAACACTCATGCAGTTAAATGGGGTCTGCGCAGCCTCGCAGAAAACACACAAAAATTCATACATATTTATGATCATGGAAAACACAGAAAGCATTCAGTGTTTCTCTCGTTTCAGTTTAAACTAAAATCAGGAAAGTGCACACAAACACACACACGACGGCAACACAGCAGAAAACACACGCACACAACCACACAAGGAAAGCAGTAGAATTTCGCAAGGAACATACTCGTTCCTCGTTCTACCATCTAATTTCCAAACTAATTTGTTAGCTTAGGTTACAATTTAACTTGTTCAAGCGTTAGTATTGTTATTCATTCCTTAAAAATATTTTAAATATTGCAAGGCGAAACACACAAGCACACACAAAAGTAAAAAAACCTCTGCGAGGGCAGCTTCACAAAATACCGGCACATCTCCATGCATATCTACACTCATATGTATATATTTATTTAGTTCTTCGATGCTAATTTCGGTTACAAATAATCTTTTAAGCTGTTATTATTATTGGATTTCAAAAAATTGTGGACATAACAATAATTAAAATAATTACAAGCCATTCACGCAAGTGCATACACCAGACATAGCAGGCGGCGGCAGCAGCCGAAAAATAAATACATGTGTACACACTGAGAAACTCTGCCACAGAATTTCGCAAGGCCCTGCTCCGTCTTTCCTTATATGTACATATCTCCAAATTTTCACATTTTTTAGATACATACAAATATTAGTTCTAACTTTAATTATTTAGTTCTGAAATAAAGCAAACAACGTTTAGAAAAAGGAAAACACAAAGGCTTGGAAGGACCGGCAGACCTCGCAGGAAAATCCCTTGCAAAACAACACGAATTGCAGAACTATGTAGGCCCCGACAGCCTTACACACATACCAGCCAGGTACGCAAGCGCATACATACAAAGCAAAACTTTACGACGGCATTTACACAGAAAAACAGACTCATCTTTTTTATTTCTTTGGATTTGTGTTAGCCTTTAATGTAGTATTTGGGAAAAAAAAAACAAAAGTATTGCAAATACCTGCACGCATACACACATTATGGCTATGCGACGCCGGTGCGGGCACTACACACACACAAGCAAAAAATATGAAAAATAAATGCTCAACTTACCCATGCAAAAATAACCCTCTTCCAGCTTCGGAGACCCATTTCAGCGAAATACACTCAAGTAAAGAACAAAACGAAAAACAACTTCTTCACGCAGCGACGAGACTAGAAACTAGAAACCAAAGGACGGATTAAATTAAAAGGACTTTGAAAAAACACGAACCGGACGCTGACTTTTATTTGAATGACAGTGTGACCGCGGACTTATCGATGTAAAATACCGACAGACCCTCGGAAATATACCGAAATATACCCTTTCATTTTCAAAACATACTTTAAATATACTTTAGTCTAAAATCGACTTAATCGGCTTTGATCTTCTCTGATATTACCAGCTGGTTTATGACTCTCAGCTCTAAAAATTTAGTTTTAATCGAATATTCATTAATGATTCATGATCCGTTAATTTTAAATAGTTGTAAATAAAGAAGCAAAGAGTTGATAAATCAATGATGGAGGAGGATTGACTGTGTTCCTTGGACTTACCTGCTATCCTTGCTCTGCTTTGTCACTTATTATTAATCAAACTTTAGCGAATGATATTCTCCCGAAGCTACAACAATCGATGGGAGTCTTTAAACTACGAATATAAGAAAACTTATGTTTTAATACCTGACTGAAATGAACACAACTTCTGAATAAACTACAAAGACGCTTTGGCATCAAACTCGAAGCTACGTCTATGTTTAAACTCTCAAACGGCCATTACAGATACATATGGCAGGGCCAACTGTGGCAGCACCGATAACAAAGCGTGATTTGCGGTAGATTTGAACAATACTTTCGGAACATAAGGGNTATTCATTAATGATTCATGATCCGTTAATTTTAAATAGTTGTAAATAAAGAAGCAAAGAGTTGATAAATCAATGATGGAGGAGGATTGACTGTGTTCCTTGGACTTACCTGCTATCCTTGCTCTGCTTTGTCACTTATTATTAATCAAACTTTAGCGAATGATATTCTCCCGAAGCTACGACAATCGATGGGAGTCTTTAAACTACGAATATAAGAAAACTTATGTTTTAATACCTGACTGAAATGAACACAACTTCTGAATAAACTACAAAGACGCTTTGGCATCAAACTCGAAGCTACGTCTATGTTTAAACTCTCAAACGGCCATTACAGATACATATGGCAGGGCCAACTGTGGCAGCACCGATAACAAAGCGTGATTTGCGGTAGATTTGAACAATACTTTCGGAACATAAGGGAGGCCAAGAAATTCAAAGCAAAACAGCCATGGCGTCTAGTCCCTGTGCCTCACGCGGGTGGGAGAAACCAAAAGAGTGCGGCCCACATGTAAATCATTAAATTGCAATAACAATGGCCAATGCCAAAATCCGTGCGGCCCAAATGTAAACTATTCCGTGCCAGAGGGTACGCACACAAGAGCATCGTGCCCGACTGTTCGGGCACGCACACGAAAGCACCGTGCCCGACTGTTCAGTGCTGTTCAGTCGATCAAAAATGAATGCGGAAAATAAAATAATTAATAAAATGTAACATCGGATTTAGTGGGAAAATGGCCAAAGGCACAGAACTGATCAAAGAGGTGTTCAATGCGCACGTATTTAGCATTGATTTCGCATCGATACACGGATGATCCGGGGTAATCTTTTCCTTCCCCTGATTGCCGACTGCCATCTATTTATAAAACCGAATTTCCTGTTTATATTTTTTATAATACATTTATTTACTCGATACAATAGCAAGGCCATTACCCATTCTATTCCCATTCCCTTTCTCTACTCTACCCTATGGCGCCGAACTCATGCGCACCACCTGGGGCATGGGCAGGGTGTCCATGCGCTGCAGCCGTTTGCGCTTCTCGCTTGGAACACCAGAACCCCCAGTACCGCCCGTCGAGTCCATGCTGTCGCTTTGCGTCTCCACCAGCTTCACATGGGCTATGCTTTGGCCGAAGAGTTTCTGCCTAATGCTTGGCCTCTTGGCCCCACCGCTGCGATGCACAGTCGCCTCTGTAGTGGCACCAGACGCACGCGGCGCACGTCCTGGCCGCTCCCCGTGCGCATCGGCGTGACGCTGCCTATGGCGGCGCTGTTTCTTGCGATGCTCCCCGTTCGGCAGCAGCTCGTTAACGTAGTGCAGACTGCTCGTGGCGCTACCACTGCCGCTGCAGCTCTGCTGATCCACATCCGTGGGCGTGTGTCCGTGTCCATGGCCGTGCGAGTGCTTTAAACGCGAATGTTTTTCCTCCAGCTCGCTCTTGTTCTTCATGGCCACCTCCTCGAGATGTGCTTTTCCTGCAGAAACAAAAACAATAAAACAATTCTCAATTACTATTAAAATTAAAATAAAAAAATAACCTACAAACATGCCACGTTTGTGCTTATCCCTTTTGGCTAGGACCACGACCAAGGTGAAGTAGGAGAGCATAATGCCAGCAGGCACCAAAATCTTCACCGTGTTGTTCCGCATAGGTGCTCCTCAGATGCGGCGGTTTCAGCGAGTTTCAATACTTTAGCTCCTCGGCCCTGCCATCAANGGGGTAATCTTTTCCTTCCCCTGATTGCCGACTGCCATCTATTTATAAAACCGAATTTCCTGTTTATATTTTTTATAATACATTTATTTACTCGATACAATAGCAAGGCCATTACCCATTCTATTCCCATTCCCTTTCTCTACTCTACCCTATGGCGCCGAACTCATGCGCACCACCTGGGGCATGGGCAGGGTGTCCATGCGCTGCAGCCGTTTGCGCTTCTCGCTTGGAACACCAGAACCCCTAGGACCGCCCGTCGAGTCCATGCTGTCGCTTTGCGTCTCCACCAGCTTCACATGGGCTATGCTTTGGCCGAAGAGTTTCTGCCTAATGCTTGGCCTCTTGGCCCCACCGCTGCGATGCACAGTCGCCTCTGTAGTGGCACCAGACGCACGCGGCGCACGTCCTGGCCGCTCCCCGTGCGCATCGGCGTGACGCTGCCTATGGCGGCGCTGTTTCTTGCGATGCTCCCCGTTCGGCAGCAGCTCGTTAACGTAGTGCAGACTGCTCGTGGCGCTACCACTGCCGCTGCAGCTCTGCTGATCCACATCCGTGGGCGTGTGTCCGTGTCCATGGCCGTGCGAGTGCTTTAAACGCGAATGTTTTTCCTCCAGCTCGCTCTTGTTCTTCATGGCCACCTCCTCGATGTGCTTTTCCTGCAGAAACAAAAACAATAAAACAATTCTCAATTACCATTAAAATTAAAACAAATATTTTTTTAGAGGTATTTATCCTACAAACATGGCACGTTTGTGCTTATCCCTTTTGGCTAGGACGACGACCCAGGCGAAGTAGGAGAGCATAATGCCAGCAGGCACCAAGACGCCAGCCAGTGCGTCCTGTATCCAAGCATGATAAATGGCCAGAAAGATCACTGCAAAAAGGAAAGCGAAACATGAAAAATATCTGAGGAACGGTGGTGCAGTTGCAGCTGCACTCAGTGGTGCTTCATCTTACCCAGAAAGCAAACAATGACGGCAACCAGGCGTCCATTGGCTTTGCGCTCCTCCTGCAAAACAAACCGCAAGGGTAAAAATGGAATCGGAAATTTAGTCATTCAATGGTGGGGTGAGGGTGGACGATTACGATGATTGTCTCCCAAAATGCCCCCCGAGGTGCCGCTCTCTGTGTGTATTTTTCTGTCTGTTTATCGCCCTCGTTCTGAGGTCCGTGTAGCTGTCTATAGGTGTGCCATAAAAACTTTGTTTATAAGAACCGCGTTCCAAATCAGATCCGATCAGATCCATGAGTAGCAGCAGCAGCAGGCATACACACACACAGGCACATGCATGGGTACACTGGAATCGAAATATTTGGAAAAGCAACAATGTGGACGTCCCGACAGGAGAGTAGCTGGCAAACTGGCCTCTCTGCCTGCCTGGCCATATGATCTTACGGTATTGGGTGTTTTGTTTTGAATGACTCACACTCGCGTCACTTCGAACAACTTACGCGCGATTTAAGATCCAATATTTCCTTAAGATTCTCCTGAATGATTTCCTCATCGGACATCGAGGTGAGACTCTTTTTGGGCACCAGGGCGGTGAGGCCATCTGGGGATTTGGGTGCAGCGGCTGTTGCCTTTGTCGCGCCTTTGCTGCTGGTGCTGCTGCTGGTGCTGTTGCTTGTTATTGTTATTTTGGGCATTTGGACTGGAGCCATCTTTTGGTTGACTGGCAGGCGTTTAACGGCTGGTGGGGCAGCCATCGGTTCACTCGATTCGATTTAATGGCGCTGGCAATTGGCCGCGAACTAAAAACCTCTAAATGGCACGAAAAATGTAAATTGGAGAACGAACGCGACCGGCCAGTGACTATTGAGCGAGTGAGAGGCGGAGCAGGCGAAACCACACCAGACATCATCGACGAAAGTGTTATTGTTGCCTTTTTGTTTCTGCCATCGTGCCGTGCTTCTGTTCGGACATTTTTTGCGGCCGAGCATTTGTTGTTAAGTATTTTGGAATCCAAAAACAGTTTATTTACATTGCAGTAAATAATTCTCAAGATGCGAGCATGTGTCTGTCTGTGCATATGCATGTGTGTGTGTGTGTGTGTGTTTGTCTGCCAAGTTCATACTTGCAGACGAAACGCAGCTAGCAGGCAATTCAATTGTTTATTTTTCAAGCAAACCGCTTTTTTTGAGTTGCCATTCCCACGGGTATCGAGTACATTTGCAGTATCGATCGATTGTACACTATCGCACCGTGAAGAACACAAAAACATTGGCGATGAGTTAAACATCGATGTCTGCCTCCAGGTAGTCGATTTTTGAAACAAAATATGTATTTATATGGATTACACATGAGCTTCTAACCATCCTTTCTTGTAAAAAACTAACTAAGAGTGCAGCTATCTTGTAATATTGAATTAAATACATTCCGTATATTGAAAATTAAAAGGTTTACTTCGGTATATTTTTGAGGGTCTGCCGGTATATTTTATCGTCACGGAAGCGCCACCCCGTCCCTCCCGTTTGTCATTGCTCTGAAGTTTGGTGAAAATGCAAGCAAAAGTTAATACAGGGCAAACAAATCGTGATATTTAAGGCGGAGTAACCCAAGGGCGCCGCGGGCTTGCCAAATTCCACTAAACCACACCCCCCAGCCCCAATTCCGAGCAAGCGAGCGAAAGCGTAAGGATTCGCTGTCGTCGTCACACAATATGTCTCAATCGCATCGAGACCGAGGTGGCGGTGGCTCCGGCCCACTGCCAAATCGTTGGCTGTATTGCCCCAGGAAGAGTGAATCGATCATTGCCGAGCGCTTTCTGGCCTTCAAGACGCCACTGAGTCAGGCTTTCAAGGACAAAATGCCCATCGAGTGCACCTTTCGACCCGAGATGCTCTTCGACTACTGCAAGACAGTGAAGGTACATATCCCATTACGCGTCATTGGCCAAAACCTCCTAATCCCAACCCCAATCAATCGTATCCCCCGTATTTCCAAAGCACAAGCTAGGCCTGTGGGTCGACCTGACCAACACGAAGCGCTTCTATGACCGCTCGACGGTGGAGGAGCGCGGTGCCCAATATATCAAACTGCAGTGTCGCGGCCATGGCGAGACCCCATCGCACGAGCAGACTCGCAGTTTTATTGAAATTGTCGACAACTTCATCACGGAGCGTCCCTTCGATGTGATCGCCGTCCATTGCACCCATGGCTTCAATCGCACCGGCTTCCTGATTGTCTCCTACATGGTTGAGCGTCTCGATTGCTCGTTGGAGGCAGCCCTATCAGTTTTTGCCAGCGCCCGGCCGCCGGGCATCTACAAGCAGGACTATATCGATGAGCTATACAAGCGCTTTGAGATGGGCGAGGATGCCCCCCAGGCGCCCGAGCAGCCCAACTGGTGTCTGGAGTACGATGACAGCAATGGTGACGATGACATACTGCAGAGCAGAAAGCGCCCCAACGATGACACCAGCTCGTCATCCACATCGCAACAGGCAGCAGCTGCTGATGGCGAAGACGATGCCGATGACGTGGATGGAGAGGAAGGCGAAGGCGGCGAGGCCAATGGTTCGAAGAAGAAGCGACGACGTGAGATGGTAGTCAGGAATGCCGCATTCATGGATGGCGTCCCTGGCGTACGACAAGTGTGCGACCAGCCGCGTTTAGGCGATCTCCAGTCTAGGGTGCAGAACTGGTGCCACTGGAACAAGAACGGCTTCCCCGGCTCCCAACCAGTGTCAATGGATAGGAGCAATATCAAGCGACTGAGCGAAATACCCTATCGCGTGTCCTGGAAGGCCGATGGCACACGCTACATGATGCTCATCGATGGACAGGACGAGGTGTACTTCTTTGACCGCAATCACTCCTGTTTCCAGGTGGAGAATGTCACATTTCTCGATGGCAAGAATCTAAACGATCATCTCGATGGCACACTAGTGGATGGTGTAAGTTTTTTTAAAATCTTTTGTTGGTTGCTCACCTCACCGATTGATTGGGGGGGATTCTCTTTGCAGGAAATGGTGCTGGACAAGATCGCTGAGGGTGTAATGCCGCGTTACCTCATCTATGACATTGTTCGCCTTTCCAATCGGGATGTGCGCGAGGAGCCCTTCTTTCCCAATCGGTTGGATTACATCAAAAACGATGTGATAGGTACCGAAGCGACCCACTTGACTGATTACTTTGTGTCTTAACCAAGTGTATATTTCATGGCCGGTTTAGGTCCCCGTATTGAGGGCATGAAGCAGGGCATTATTGTCCAGAAACTACAGGCATTCAGTGTGCGTCGCAAGGATTTCTGGGAAATTTGGATGTCTGCCCGACTGCTGGGCGAAAAGTTCTCCCGCTCGTTGGCCCATGAGCCCGATGGCCTCATATTTCAACCCTCTCATCAGCCCTACACAGCCGGTGTTTGTCCGAATGTCTTCAAATGGAAGCCCCATGAGCTCAACTCTGTGGATTTTCGCCTAAAGATCATCACAGAACGTGGCGAAGGGTAAGCAAGGAAGTAGATCTTTGTAGAGAAATGACCCGTGTCTCCTGCCGTTTTAGTTTGCTAACCAAAAAGGTTGGCTTCCTCTATGTGGGCGGACACGATGCACCGTTTGGACGTATGCAAAAGTTGACAAAAGAAATTCGAGATGTGGACAACAAGATTGTGGAGTGCACCATGAATCAGTTTGGCAACTGGGAGTTTATGCGAGAGCGAACAGACAAGAAGCATCCAAATAGCTTCAATACAGCACTCGGTAAGAAGGAACTTTTCCTGCTACTCTTTACGAAATTCTGCAATGAAATGTATCTCTCCCTCTCTTTCGCTATGGCAGCCGTTGTGGAGAGCATAAAGCATCCGGTTACCAAGGATTATCTGCTTAATTATATTGCCAATTGTGGGTTCCGCGATGATCATACCATGATGCCGCCACCTAATAATGCCCATCATTCCCATGGGCAGCACGGCCATCATCAGGGGGCAGCTCATGGACCGCATCGGTTCGTTTGAACACCCACACTCTAAACACACCTCACAACCATCTCACCATTGACATCCACCATCCACACCTGGAAACTAGGAAATTAAAACAAAAACAAACAAAACAATTGCCCCACAAGCTAAAGTCCCAATAAACATAATTTAAAGAGCTAAATTGTAATCACTTTTAGTGAGGATTTATGTGGATAACATTTATTATTTATTGATTAACATTTATTAGTTGCGTTTCGTCAGTTGATCAGGCTACCATTCTCGCGCAGTGGCTCTTCCTGCAGCTGCCCCAGATGAAGCAGAGCCACCAAAGCTGCTCCCTGTTCGGCCTGCTTTTTGTTCTTCTCCCAGAAGGTGCTGCTGTAGCGTTGCCCATCGTAGCTGCAAATGGCACGGAACAGTTTGTCGCATTGCTGAGTCTCATAGCAAGGCGGGGACTTGCCCGTCCTACCAGCATACACATACAATACGGTCTTGGGCAGATGATTGTCTAAACAAAAGGAACTCAAATTAGTCACAGAGAGATATACAGAGATAAGGCCCCAAAGGCATACATACCACTGGCATAGGTGGACCTTAAAAATGGCATGCTGCGGCAAATGACGCCCTCGAAGTCATCGGTGATGGCAGTGGCTGCCTCCTCCATCTTCTGTCGCTTGGCCTGCGCCTCGGGTGGCTCCACCTCAGCGCGTCCAGAATTTCCCAGGGTGCGCAGCTCTTTTTGTTTGCGCCGACAGTAGTCGCCCAGATGCCAGATCTCGCATATCTGCTGCAGCGTCTGGCATTGAAGGAAGCGCTTGCCGCGCGGCGTCTCCTGCAGTTCCTTGAGCATATTCTGTACACAATATTTGGCATTATGCGGCGCATTGTCATAGTCCACACACAGACGCAGATACTTCTCGATGAGCTCATCCATTGGCAGGAGACCGTCACGTCGGAAGATGCTAACATTGATTTGAGCGGCACGGGCCACCATCACGCTATCAGCGCCACATTCCAGCTGAAATTTCAGAATATCCTCGTACTTTTGCATATTCCGGGAGCCACCGTTGGCAATGATGGGTATGGAGACAGCCTTGGCCACGGCACGCAGCACATCGGGATGCGGGCGATGCTGTGGTCGCTCATCGCGTGTTCTAGCATGAATGCCTATGGCCGCTATACCCGTGTCGGCCAGCTTCTCCACCAGACTAATAGTGTCATCCAGATCGGGAAGAATTCGGATTTTGCAGGTCACGGGAATGTCCAGGTTGGAGCACAGTGTACGCAAAATGAGGGCAGCCTTGTCGGGGTTCGCCAGCAGGGCTGCGCCCATGCCGCCCTTGATAGAGAACTCCTTGGGGCAGCCCATATTGATGTCCAAGCCGGAAATGTCCTGCTGCAACAGTTTGCCCACGGCCAGAGCACGTGCCGCATCGCTGGTGCCCATTTGTAGGACAAGTCGCGATGTCTCCAATGCACAAGTTCGAAATACCACCGTCCCATCCGAGGGATCCACAAAGTCCACTGTGCCCAGGGCGGCTACAGCGAGACAAAGGCGTTTTAAATGTTTCTTAAGGCAGGGCTGTGGTGCACTCACGATTATGCCGCCGGATGCTTTTGATTAGCTTCAGATCAATCAGCTCCTCTGTGTAAACGATGTCAGCGCCCATTTCAAGGGCCAGCAGACGCATGGGCAGCGTGCCTACCCGCACCATGGGTGCCAGAATCAGCTTGTTGCGGTAATCCAGCTTCGGTCGCGACTTCATATTTTGGAATTTGTTCAGAAACGAATGCCACTTGGTGGACCGTGACAACAATTGCAACATGTGTGAGGGAGTATATACCGCAAGAACAAAAAATACACCGAAATATACCCTTGTTATGTTTTAAATATACCGTAAATATACCGACACTAAATCATTTTCCTCGACTTTGAAATTCCATTTAATATTTTTATTTAGCTACCAGCTACCTGTTGGTGGATTGTTTAAAAAATAAATTAGCAAAAACGTAAGAATTTGTCGTATTCTGCCATTTTTCCCATCGCTAATCGATAACGATGTATTGTGTATCGCCTTATATTGTAGCCCTGGAACTGTTGTTGTCATTTTGCTTAGTAAAAAAAGGTATTAATTTTTTTCGTTTTAAATTAAAAAGCATGCAAATTGTTATTGTAGCAAAGTTCGCACAAGCAGAGAACACACATAACTAAACACACACACAGACAGGGAAGTGGCATAATTAGCGGCAGCATATAAAAAACAAGAGAACACCTTTGCCGCCCCCAAAACAACAGAAAATACTTCGAAAAGAGGAAGGTCTAATTGGATTATCAGCGAACAGCGACAAAGAGAGGAACACAACGACGTTTTTCCAATTTACATTAAGGTCTGGCCCAGCGACGTGAACAAACTGGCCACAGCCACAGTCTCAGGGGCAAGGACAGCATTTTTACAAGGACAGCGGCGCAGCTCAAAGCCAGAGCCAACATTTCTCTTGGCCCATTCAGCTGGAGGCGGAACCTTGTGGAGCAGGAGAAGGAGCAGCAACCACAACGACGACTCTGGCTTTGTTATGCCCAACGCCTGCCCTGGTACGTGGAAGGAGAAAGACGGCGATACGCGGGGTCGCTACTGTTGTCGAACGATACACTGAGGCTGACCTTCGGCCAACGGCTACTGGCCAGTGCTATGTCCCTGCTGGCACTTGCCCAAGCCTCCACCTCAGCTTCCGCTTCCACCTCGAGCTCCAGCGACACGGAACTCGATGCCCAGGTCGATTTCTCGACCATGCTAATGCACCGCCAGCGCGAGTACAGTGGCTGGTTTGGTTGCGGCACAAAAATGCAGCCAGAGCCAACGGATCAGGGCTACTATCTCGAGCAGTATGTGCTCGGTGTGCTCGATTTCAGCTCGCAATATGGCATCGAGTACAGCATCTCGTATACGGCGGCCAATGTCGTTGGCAGGCCATCAAAATTCCCCGCCTACGGCGACTACCCAGAGACCTTCACCATGGTAAGTGCCACACCACAAACACAAACTGTTTGATGCACTCACCCACTCAAGTGTTCTTCCCAGCGCACCTACGGCGATTGGTGGCAACGTGCGCCATCTGCCACACAGGAGATTCAGCCACAAAATCTACCCAAGCTGGCCACTCACGATTATATTGGTAAGTTCCTCATCCCAACGCTGTGCATGGGCGTAAAAATGAAAAATGTTTCGTTAACTATCTGCCTGGCTGCAGTGGTGTACTTTGAGGATTATGTGGTGCCCACGGAGGTGGCCATTTTTGAGACATTTAATCCTGGCGCTGTGATACGCATCTGGGCATATGGTTTGACCAAGCACTGGACATGCCTCTGGGAGGCCTTGGACACGGACCTGGCCCCGACCTCACGTAACTCACGACGCTTCGCGCCGCCGCTGCTAAAGACCACCATGATAACAAAGTAGGAGCCTCAGTTCTGTGTTCAATCGTGGGAAGATCCACTAACTGCAGTTTGCTTTGTCCAAAACAGAACCCTGCGCATTGATTTCAACCACAGTCAACTCAATTACTACACGGAAATCGATGCCATCATGCTGTGCGGACGCACCGTGTCGGGGCGCCTCATTCAGAGCATTCTGGAGGAGCAGGCGCGCGTCTACAAGTCCCACTCGCCACTCTCGAAGATGGGCACTGGCGGACCCATCAGCTGCAAGCTGCGCACGCTGAAATTCAAGCCTAATTGCAGGGAGAAAAATGACACCAGCTTGCACGAATTCATTAGCAATGATCTGGGTAAATTTCTTCTGGACAATCGACAGGAAGATCAACTAGACACGCCTGCATGTGGCATGTGTGTGACAGATCTGCCATTCGAGATCCTCTTGAAAATACTCAGCTACCTAGACCTGCAGTCGTTATTTTCTGTGGGCCGCGTGTCGCGCACCTTCTATGACATCTCCACGCATCCACTGCTCTATGCTGAGCTCAACCTGAAGCCCTATTGGCCGGTGGCCAGCTCAGAGTTGCTGTGCACGCTGGCACGTCGTGCCACAATGCTGCGCAAACTGGATCTGTCCTGGTGCGGTGGCTTCAACGAAATCTCACCCACCGAATTCAAAAAGTTGGTCAAAAAAAAGAGTCCTGCTGCAAAATGACAAATATCTTATTTATGAAACTTCTTTTTGCAGATTTCTGACCCAGCGCGGCGATAATCTAACCCACCTGCGGCTAAACTCTTGTAAATTTCTAAACGCCAGCTGCATTGAAAATGTGGGCATAGTCTGTGATAATCTGATTGGTATGTCTGCTATCCCCATCGTTCAATCTTTCTTTTTTAATTTGCTTCTTTTGTCAGAGTTGAGCCTGCGTAATTGTGCCACTGATCCGCCGTTATTGAACTTCTCGTGTCTGGCTAATCTTAAGAATTTGGAGCGTCTTGATCTCTTCCAAACGGCCTTTGATACTGAGCTGCTGCTCAGCATGCTCGAGGGAAATCGCAAGCTCAAGCATCTGAATCTGGCCTTTTGCGGAGTGTCGGTGAACATGGACGATGTGGCCGATCATTTGGCCACATATAACACACAGCTCATATCGCTGGATCTGTGGAAGGCTCACTTTTTGTCCGCCCGCGGACTCTTGGCCATATCTCGCTGCCGTCAATTGGAGGAGCTCGATTTGGGATGGTGGTATGTGCTGTCCAGCAACTCTCTGCCATTATTTATTCATGTGCATTCCTCGCTGTAGTCTGCGGGAGGCATCGCTGGGAGATGGTTTGTTTCAGCTGCTGTCCAACTGTCCCAAGCTGAGGAAACTATTTCTGTCGGCGGTGCGTGGCACCACCGAGCGGGATCTTTTACACATAGCGACGCTGGGCAAAAATCTGGAGCAATTGGATCTCATGGGGATATTAAATATAACGCACGAACGTGTCTTCGAGTGGGTTTCATACATACACTTAATTATTCTCAAGGCGCAAAACTTACCGCAGATTTTTCTTTCAGCATTCTGGTGCATTGCCCCAAGCTGCAGCTCCTGGATCTGAGTTTCTGTGACAACATTATGGAGCGTGATGTGAGGAGCTTAAACTCCTTGAACTCCTTCTCTCTAGCTAAACTCTTTATCTTCTCTATTTGCAGTTTGATTTACTGGCGGAATGGTCGCGTCAGTTCAAGGTGGATATTAAGAGCAGCCGCATCTTCGATACCAGATAGGTGATCACAGGAAAGCAGAGCGGATCAAGCATGGGCATATGTACATACCTTGTAGCTATTATTAATAATGGATGTACAATTTCTACGTGTGTATGTGGCACCTTTCTGTTGCTAGTATAATGTTACCTTTATAATGTTTAAAACAAACGAAACCTGTGGAACATTTTATAAAATCCTTCAACATTCATCACTCTGCTCTAACTTTATATTTATTGAATTGATAAAACATCATTTTAGAATTAAGTTGGGCGTAACTATAACGGTTTTTGTTTCGTATTTACATGCTATCGATATAGGGCCCGCTGTGTCGATATTAGAGGTGGAACATGGTGTCGCTTGATCTCACGTAAAAGAGTTGCCACTTTTATTATTATCTCGAGGATATTTAATTAACACTTTTTCTGTTCGATACTGATGAACTTTCTTTTCAAATTTTGGGTCCTAAAATTAATCAAGTACAAATAATATTTTCGTACACGGTATATTTATGGAATATTTCGATTTTGATATTTTCCTCGGAAAACCTGGTCACACTGCAATCGAATTTTTCCAAAATGAAACAAAAACGCACTTCGTTTACCTAAAGTTTATCAATATATTAGTCCAATAAATAGTAAAAATAACCAAAATTAGATTAGATCAACTGTCAATCGAATGATTCGTCATATTAACCGGGAGCAGGAGCAGCAGCAGCAGCAGGCAGTGAGACGACGTCGCCGCCGCCAGCTGTGCAGCCAACGGCAGCAATAACAACAAGAGAGCAAAGCAAAGTCAGAGAGAGGAGAGGAGGTGTGTATATGTACCGTTTGCTGCTTGAGAATCCACCGCCCACCCAACGTCCTCACCCATCTTGCGCGCAGCTAATTCCAAGCGGCCCCCGCCCTGACCACGACAGCAAGCATCTTCACTCCAGTGGGCGCACGTACACTGTCTTGAGCGTGTAATTTGGTTAAATTATTAATTCGCTTTACCACCACATACGACGGTGCGGTGCCGTGCCCTTACCCCCTGCACCGCTCGAACAGTGGTTTGAATCGCATACAAGGCGTGTCTGGAATTGCTTGTGGCTGTTTGAGCCCCCGTTCCATCTGTTCAATCGTTAAAATCGTTTGCCATATTTGCCTTTGCAGTGTCCGCCATGCGATTTAACAAGTCCGAGCTGAACGCTTTGGCCTCCAGTCCGGCAACCAAGTTCGACAAGGAGGGGCTGCTCATCGTTACAGATCGCCAGGAAGGATTCCTGTGGCGCAGCGAAGGTACGTGCCAACGGTGACGTAGCAGATAAGCGGTTAATCACCCAAAACGTATCCAACGTATTTTTAGCTCTGATCACATGCCATGCACATGCACATGCACATGCACAAACACATACAAACAGACACACACACTCATGAACACTGCTGGTCCGATAAGTCCAAGTCCTGTCCAAGCACTCTGCTTATATGCACACTTCCACTTTTCCCTTCCCACAGTCAGAGTCGAACGCTGGTGCAAGCTGCGAGGCAATCTGTTGTTCTGCCTTAAAGACAAAGATCCCAAATCATCGGTGTCTGCTGTCCTTGTACTGGAGAACTGTCGCACCCGCATTCAGAATGAAGACTGCGACCCCGACGGCTATATCTTCGATCTAGGTGAGTGATTCTAGCTTGCTCAGAGAGTGCCTTTGCGTTCCGTTGCTAATCCGCAGTGCTTTACAGACTTCAAAGACAGTCCCACGGAGCGTTTTGTTAGCTACTCGTCGGCCGAACGCCTGGCCTGGGTATACAGCATTGAGCAGGCGTCCAACGAGACGCTGAGTCTGCTTATCAGCCAGCTGAAGGAGCAGATTGTGGCAAAGAGCAGGCAACTGCCCCTGGCCATGGGCAATAATATTGATTTGGGTGTGCCAGTGCCCCCTGCAATGATCCAGCAGCAGCAGGAAGATAGGGAGGACTCTCCTCCCGTGGAGGTGGCACCGACCTTTGAAGGTGATCTTATACAGTTCTAACAAAAAACAAAAAAGTCAAAAATGAAAAGAAAAAACCAAAGAATGTGGATGTTGTTATTGTTTGTTTTAGTTTTATTTTTTTTGTTCATGTTAACAAAATTGTCTCTGTGTCTCTCACTCACTCGCACTGGCCACTCTTGCACTCTATCTCACTCTCTTTAGCGCACTCTTTGTATCCTATTCAATCGTACCCTCTCACACACACAGATCTCATAGCATTTCCCTTACTTCACACACACACACACACACGAAAGCTCATCATTTCATTCCAAACATGTGTCGCTGCTTTCCAGAGCAGAGCCCACTGGAAACGCGCTGCCATTCGTATACATACATATGTAATTGTATTTGTAAATCTAACGGGTATTTGGTGTCTGGACGATCTATCGTACTGGAAATGGGTTTTATTCTTGGAATAAAATTGAATTTTACTTTTACATTTAAACGGAAACCAGTTTGTTTTTTTTATGTTCCTTATGCCAAGCCGTTGGGTCTGCTTTGCTTGTGATCTGATCTGATTTGATGTGCTTCTCCTTCCAGAACTGGACCTCTCGGAGCTGCCCATCTGCGAGACGGCCCTCTCCTGTGATAGCCTGCCGGTAGACACCTTCGGTCGTGATCCCAACCCACGTGTGGTCTGCTCAGTGCTGCAGCCCGGCGAGGATTGCTTGTGGCGCGAGCATGCTCGCACGGAGCTGCAGGAGGGCACACGCACGCCGCAGTTCCTAAGCACGATGCGTTTTCAGCGCAGTGCCGGATTTACGGCCTCCACGCTTCTGCGTTTCAGTGTGCACGATGTGCGGGAGCGCATGACCCTGACATCGGTGCCCTTGGGCCATGCTGAGGTGGCCCTCGGCGTCATACAGGACACCACACGGCTGCGTCTGCCCGTCGGATCGCCGCGTGGTGAATGTGGCTTCATTACCCTTGTCTCCTGGTCCCCAGAGGCGGCCGTGGAACCGGGCCAATCGACAGGCAATGGCTTACCGCCGCCGCCCCGTTCCAGCACACAACTTTTTGAAACGGCTGGAGCAGGATCCACATCAATTGGCAGCGCCAGCGGCAGGCGAGGTGAGTGCTTAATGAAACTCCAGGATGGTCCATCTAGCGATTTTCACGCAACTTTTCTCCACCTTGTGTCCACCCAGCCCATCGTCGCACTCAGTCGCTGCCCCCGAAGCTGGGCGTGCGCCTCTTTGTGCCGCAGCAGTGCGGCCTGCAGAGGGTCTGTGCCAAGCCCCGGCTGCACACATATCGACTGCATTCCTCGCTGGGGGCGGACATCAGTGTGCAGGAGACGCTGCTGGAGTCGCGTCTGTGCTGCGTGCTGCCCCAGCAGCTGCTCTCCATCTGGATACAGCGCGAGAAGGAGCTGCTGCAGGAGATATCGGGCATGGGCGAGCTGAGCGGCGAGTGGCGCTGGCGCCAGATGAATCTGCTCGAGGAGCATCTGCGCCTGCTCAAGGACTACTCGCAGGCCAAGCAGAACATTCAGCAGCTGGCTCGCGATGGCGTCTTTTTCAAGCGGTCGTCGGTGAAGACGGACGAATCGCTGGAGTTTCTGCCCGTCAATCTGCACGTTCAAAGGATGTGGGCCCAGAACGACACATTGCAGCGGCGCGGCTTCCTCGACATTGTGACAGTGGGCGCCTTCACTCGACACGATGCCAAGGGACGGCAGTGCGGGGGATTGATCAAGTGAGTGCATAGCAGTGGGCAGTGGGCAGTGGGCATTGGCTCCTCTTCGCAACCATTTGTAACCATTTCCCCCCTTTCGGGCAGACTTCTGCAGGAGAGCAAATCGTGGAAACTGGAGCAGAGCAATGCGTGCAAGGTGCAGGCAGCCAACGATGCCGTCCAGGCCACCAAGCAGCTGCGCAAGGAGATCGTCGAACTGATGTCACAGCTCCTACAGCTGGCCAGCCGTCGCTGTGCCACCGACATGATGCCCCTGTGCGATCAGATGGTGTCCAAGACTCGCACATTGCTGAACATCTGGGAGCCGAGCATTGTCAAGGAGGCGGTGGACTTTATCGAACAGCATCGCATCATCGAGGAGCCCGAGAATGTGCTAATGGAGCCCATGTCACCATTCCGAAAGATTACCCAACAGCTTACGGCTTTGGAGTTGAAGTCGCCGGAGCTGGAGGACTTTGCCACGCCGGTGGTGGCTCCGCCCGATCTGTGGCCCCGGGGTCAGCCACCGCTGATGCGTTCGAATAGCTGGCATCCAAGCAACAGTTCGCCCTCCAGCTCCCTGGACATTCGTGCCATTGACTCACTGCAGCATGTCGTCAAGTGCTACAACGAGCATCTGCGCAGCCTCGAGCAGGGCGCGTCGGGTCAGCGTACGGAAAAGGATGCTCTGTCCGAGGCAGAGGGTACATATCAGTCGCTGCCACTGGCTTGGCATGCCCAGCCCCAGTCACAGTCGCAGCCCGAAGCTACGCCCATTCCCGCTGCACTGCAGCTAATCGATCTGGATGAGTTGAGGGGCGGTGGACAGCAGCAGCCGCCCGCAGGCTTTCTCGACACCAAGCTGATGAGCTCCTCGCCGTCGGCCAACTATTACCGGCCCACGGAGGAGCCGGAGCCGCTGGATCTGACCCAGCTGAATATTGAGGCCAGCGTGATGTGCCTGGAGTGCAAGCTGAAGTTCTTTTGCGGTCGCCGTGACAGCCCGGCCATCCGACTGCGTCATCCCAAGCCGCCAATGAAGCGCGAGGGCTTCGCTGTGACCCCCCAGCAGCAGGTGCCCGCACCCGATGTGATCTCGGCACCCGAGAAGCCCGCTCAGCAGCTCGAGCTGGATCTCAAGCCGCTGCCAACAGCTGCAGCCTCTGGCTCGGCTGCCGTCAAGAAGGGCAACAAATTCACAGACGGTCTGGACCTGTCGCTGACCACAGACTGGGCTGCCGAACTGCGTCCCAGCATGCGCAAGCTGCGCCATGCCATGGACAGGCTGCTGAAGACGGCACGCCTGATGCATTCGGTGCAGCGGCTGCAGCAGGATGTGCGCTGCAATCGCCTGCAGGCAAGCATCATGTATCGGCGGGATGTCTGCTTCTCTCAAGCGGTAAGAAGGCCCCATGGAAAATGGGAATTTATAGCCCAACTAATCATTGTCCTTCTCACCACAGCTGACAGCTTTGGTTAGCTCATTGATGTTGCGCCTCTGGGGCAGCGAACTTGACATGGCCTATCTGGTGATGCTCAGGGATCTGGGTCCGCTGGCCTACTTCGAGGGCCTGCTGACGCTCTTCGGCAACGAGGCGGACATGTGGAGCGACATGTGCATTGCCATTGAGGACCTGTCCGCCGTCAGTTTTCAACTGGTGCGCGCACAGGGCGAGGCTGCACTGGCGCCGATGCCCCGCATTACGGGCTCCCGGCAGGCCTTGGAAGTGCAGCTGCCAGTGCCAGAGCATTCGCTGCCCGGCAATGGCACCTCCATATCGTTCAAGATCACGCCCGTATTCTTCAATATTGGCATCAATGGCAAGGCCACCTATGCGGAGACGGTGGGCCAGACGCGGGAGCAGCATCGCTCCAATTGGGACAACTATCTGAGACTCAGCCAGTACTATGGTCGGTATCGCAAGCTGGGCCTGGGCTCTGTGGATGCTGGCGAGTCCCTGCAGTCGCTGCTCGTCTTCATGGAGCAGCAGTTGCGGGCGAATCTTTCCAAGAATGTCAAGATTCTGCATTTGGCTGAGGATGCCTGTCGACTGATGGACGGCCTGCGGTTCACATCCTGCAAGAGTGCCAAAGATCGCACAGGCATGGCCGTCACCCTGGAGCAGTGCCGCGTGCTGGTACGCGAATTCCAGCTGCCAGCCAAGCACGTGCCCTATGCGCTGAGCACCATGAGAAGGTAAGTTGCTGCCCCGACCTTTAACGACTTCAATTTTGATTGTGTTTTGTGCCTTGCAGCGAGGGCACACGTATGGACAATGTTTTGAAGAATATTGGCACACGAAAGTATGCCTTCCATTGGACACAGGTGCCCTTTTTGCCGGCCATGTATCGGCCGCCAGTTGGCAGCTATGGCAAAGCGCAAACCTAAGCAGGATGACCTTATAGACAAACAAAACTGTGCCAAAAATCAGAGAAAAAATTCACAGCAAAGCAGCAATTAAAACTAATTCAATTAGCACACCATTCGGACAGACAATTGTTAAATGTATCACCAAATGATTCCCTAAACCACGTATTTATTTAGCATCTAGAGAATTCCCATCCCCATAACCCATAACTCCACCCACCCCACTTATGTAGCTTGTAGTTTTTGTTGCAATCTTCTCGTTTGCAAAGAGAAGACAACGGTAAATCGTGTGAACTTTATCTCGACTCGTGTACTTCCAGTGAATAAAACAAACCGAACTTGTTAACATATAAAACACTTAAACAGAGGAATTTCTAGTAATCCTGCACGCGGCCAGTGCCCAATCGCTGCTTGCGTATCTCCGTCTTTAGCCAGGAGGGCACGTCCCGTATGGGATGGGCATTGGGGAAGCGCAGCTGCTTGGCTGGGCCATCGAAGGGATGCGTCTTGGCCAGTTTTCGCTGCAGGTACTCCTTGTTCAGCTGCTTCTCGTCCCGATGCTTGTCCATGTACAGATTGAAGGGCTGTTTCAGTGGAAAGAATTTCTGATCCGACAGATATGGCTTCGGGAAATCATACTCATAGACAGGCTCCTTAATATCTGCCGTAGAGATGGAAAGAGAAAAGAGTTCTACACTAAATGCACGAGAAGAATCTCCTTGTGTGTGTACCCACTCAAAATATTGTGATATAACTCCGTCAGCGATTCATCCCAGTTGGTTTGATAGAAGGCCAGGCCTGCCGGTGTCAACTGCTCCTGATGCTGGCGATAAAACTCCAGCGTGCTGAATGTGCGCTTCTCCAAATTGCTGTAGTCCGAGGCTGCCAACTGGTAAGTGCCCAGATCCATGACACCCTGCTGCTTGTACAGCACAAATACCATGCGCTGATAACCCACGCCCTTGGGCGGAAACGGTGCCAGATATTCAGCCAGGACCTGTCCCTCGCCAACCCTGCCGTTGGGTATATTGCCACTGCAAGACAAAGAAAATCCAACAATCAATTGGTTATACATTTCACTTACGACACCTGGCTCTGGCACCTACATGAACCAATGCAGACACTCGGCTGACGGATTGGTGTAGTGGGCATCTGGATTGGTGGCCAACAGCGTCCAGTAGCTGTCCTGCCCGGCCCCCGACTTGCCGGTAATGGGATCCATAAAACCATCGAAGCTCACGGCTGGTGCCTTCGCTGCCTCCGCAGGTTTAATCACATTGCCATTATATACCGGAGTGAGGGTGTCGCCCAGCTCGTAGAGTATGCTGAGTGGCACCCGGGGCACAAAGTACGCGCTGCCATACAGATGCTCAAAGATGCCATAGTGATCCGCGATCAGGCGCAAGTCGTGCTGGCCCGTCGTCTGCACATATGTCTGCTGTACTTTATCCAGATCGATGATTACTGCCCAAAAAGAGTTACATATAATCTATGGAATCCATGGCTGCTTTCGCCGGTGCCGGTACTTACGCTTGTGGCTGCGTGCCAGCTGCTCCAATTGTTTGTTGGATCGCTGCGTCTTCAGATGCTCCAGGCGCGTCTTCAGTTGCGCAGAACGCGATTCTTTGAGCTGTGGAAAGCCAATGTTGATGCGGGCCACCACCTCGGCATCCGTCACGGTCTCCTCTGTGTGGGGGCAGGTGCATTTATCAGCACGATTACATCAACAAAACGGCAAAAGGACTGCTTACCCTGCAAACGTTGTTCCAGCGTACGAGCCACACCGGGCGGCTTGCCACGCAGCCTGTGACCCTGTCGAGTGCTCATGAGCCCAACCTTGGCCGGTGTTCCACGCAGGCCATGGTTTAGGCCGCTTTTCATTAACAAATTGCTAAAAGACATTGTGTTTTATAAGGCAGCGTTTTTCCATCAGTGTGACCGCGAAATATGACCCTCAGAAATATACCGAAACATATCTCCTGATTTTTAAAATATACAACATGATATCGATATCGATTAGTACAACGAAAAGCTTGTACTTATCGAAATTAAGCTGAGCTTTCTAACGGTTAACGGCTTTCTGCAAAAGTTATGCAACTTTAATACAGGTTATTTCATAAAATTAATGCAAATAATGTATTACTGCGGATTAATTGTATTATTACTGGCTGGCTACTGCCTGGCCGAGGAACTCCTCGAGCTGAGCTGTACATCCGATGTGCAGTGCCATCAGTTTGAACGTGGACGATGTCTCAATTCGACCTGCCACTGCACAGCACGTGACTCGGGCGAGCGCGTGGACTGCCGGCCCATGGAGCAGAAGGTGACCAACATCATTGGTGGCCACTGTCCCTGCCTTCAGCCCCATGCCGAATGCAACAAAAAGCTTGATCAGTGCACCTGCTCCTCCGGTTTCCTGCCGAGTGAGGACAAGCGACGCTGCGTCGCTGAGAGGGTGCCATTGGACGAACGCTGCGAGTTCCATCGCCAGTGCCAGTTGTCGGACAAATTCAGTTCATGCCACTCATCGCAAAATCGCTGCCTCTGCCGAACGAACTTTGAGTCCCACCAGGGACGCTGTCTGGCCGTCCTGGGTGAGTGTGGCAAGCGATCCCAAACGATCCCAAATGATGCCTAACATAATCAAATACAGAGTCCAACTGCGTGAACGACACGGACTGCGGCAGCTGCGGTGCCTCCCTGTGCCTGCCGAAGCTCAAGAAGTGCGGCTGTGCCGTCAACTATGTCCACAACCGAAACATGACCATGTGCATCACTGGATCGGACTACGGCGATGGCTGTGAAAGCAGCACGGCCTGCCAGGTAAGCCTTGGTGCCGGTGGCCAGTGCCAGGATCATCGTTGCACCTGTCGCTCCACCCACTATCCCCGGATGGTGGCCAACACCTCGCCAAAGGAGGAGGAAACTGTGGATTCACACCAGCTAAAGCGGATTAGCTGCGAGCCCACTGTGCCCTTTGGTGCTTACTGTCGCATTGACAGCGACTGCCAAATGCATCCTCTGATGGCGGAAGATGCCGAACAACCGCTGCCGCCGTCCGCCATGGAGTGCAAGTGGGGCGAGTGCCGGTGCACTGCCCACCACAGTGTGCGTGACAATCAATGTGTGCGGGAGAGTGGAGGCAGCACCTCGATCCCAAGCACCCTCTGGGTTGGACTTTTGATTCATACTTCATTGATTCTTTATTAGCATATAGAAAAAACTGTTCAACTTATAAATACAATGGTTATGCCGACCAACTGCCGCGTTTAGAGGCCTATCCTGGCCGGTGTGCGTCGGGGCGTCGTTGTGCCTGGAGTAGCTATCTCCTGCTTGGCGGCCATCTGCTCCTCTTGGCGAGCCGCCTCCTGTTTGCGCTCTTCCATCTCGTGCTGGGCCTGCAACATTTGCTCCTCCATCTCCTTGAGATGCTCGGCGGCTTGTTTCTTCTTCTCGCGCCCACTGCGTCCCGACTCCTTCACCGAGAAGAACATGGGACCCAGCTCCGCCAGCCAGTAGCCATCCACAGCGGTGGCACACTGCATATACTCCTTCGCCGTCATGATCAGCTCATGATAGACGACATAGTCGGGCGTTGTGCCCAGCCCGTAGAGGGCGGAGGTAGGATGCAAATGGCAGGGCATGCCCGTGCGCAGATTCACGTACTCACCGATGCCCTTCAGCCGTGCCGCCTGGTAGAAGTACGCCGAACAGATGCACTTTCGCACAATGTCCCAGTCGGTGCCGCACGACTTGACGTTCATCTTCTGCTGCGTCATAATGTCCTTCAGCTGCTGCCGCACCTCGCGCACTTTACGCATCGCCTTGATGTGAATGAAGTGTTCGTTGCACCACGACGATCCGTAGCTGTGGGAGAGGGAAACAACCATTAAAATGTGAATTCTGTGAAAGCAACCCTTGCCGGTGTAGGCTTACTTGTTCTGGCGCCACTGCTGATACACATTGAGGTAGGTCAGATGATCCGATTCGGGCACCTGGAACTTTTCGCGCACACCGTCCGCCTCCTCCTCGCGTCCCTTGGGCCGATAGAAGATCGAGGGCACCGACAGCATGGAAACTGTAGAGTGGAGAAAACAGGATTTATAAAGGATTTTTTGGAGGACGCCTACTCCATAAAGTTGTTTGGCGTGGCTCACCTATGATGAGCACCTCGGCACTGCACTCCATGCGGCAGGCGACAATTAGCATTTGGCACTGCGGCGGATCCAGGGGAAACTCGGCCATCTGGCGACCCAGGGTGGTGAGGGCACCGGTGTGATCCAAGGCGCCCAGGATCCACAGCTGGTAGAGCGAATTGAGGATGTTGTCCTGCGGCGGCGGGTCCATAAAGTGGAATTGCAGCAGATCCACCACGCCCAGCGACTTGAGCAGCAGCACCGTGTTGGCCAGATTGGTGCGCTGAATCTCCGGTACGGTGAGGGCCAGCAGCTCGTCCTTGTACTGGCGCTGGGTGTACAGGCGGAAGGCCTGGCCCGGGCCGGTACGACCGGCACGACCCGAACGCTGATTGGCATTCGCCTGCGAGATGGGATAGATCTGCAGGGCGTCCATGCCAATGCGGGGATTGTAGACCTTCAGCTTGCAGTAGCCGGAGTCGATGACGTAGATGATGCCATCCACGGTCAGCGAGGTCTCCGCAATGTTGGTGGCAACGACGCATTTGCGCACCCCATCGCCGGACTTTTGGAAAATCTTCGCCTGCAGGTCGGAGGGCAGCTGCGAGTAGATGGGCAAAATGCTCAACACCGGGGCATTGTCGATCTCGGCAAGACGCTCCTCGAGCACCTCGCATGTCACCTCGATGTCCTCCTGGCCGGGCATAAAGATGAGCATGTCGCCCTCGTTGGGCGTCAGGTGCACCTGCAGTGCCTGCTTTACCGCCGACTCCACATAGTCCTCGCAGGTGTTCTTGCTGAACATTACGTCCACGGGAAAGGTGCGTCCCGGTATGATGAATGTCGGTACGTTCCCGAAGAATGTTGCAAATTTGTTGGAGTCCATAGTGGCGGAGGTCACAATCAGCTTCAGATCATGCCGCCGGGCCACAATCTGTGAATGGAAATCGTGGGAAAATGGACATATGGATTAGGTCATTCATTGTCAGGGCGTCCGTCCGCGGGCGGTAGACCATGGTTTGACCCAAAATCCCCGCCACGTTGGCCGTGGTGTCGTTGACCGGCGCTGCAGTGGGTCAAGGCATGCCACATCATGCCACGAATTTCTCATAGTCAATAAGGGGTCACCCCCGCCCTCCACCATCTCTCAATCGCTCGCGCTCTCTCCCTTAGCAAGCCTCTTAGTAAATTCACTTTGGTCCTGTGCCCACAAGTGTGGTGAAATAAAGAAATACAATACTGCTTCGAGTCTCAAAGTTTGCCTTTCCTTTTACTTAATCTACCTTTTTTTCGGCTGCAACTGCGTGAATGCAAAAAGAGAGAAACACCGTGAGAGCGAGAGAGAAAGATTGAGAGAGAGCTGGTGCAGCTTCGGCTTAGCCTTTGTTGTTTAAGGGAGGAGCAGAGCAGCAGCGGGCTAACATGCTGGAACACACGTACGCCATGTATGGGAAGGAAGAAAGGAAGGAGGGTTTCGTTTCCTTTGCTATTCGCTACACCAGCGCAGCAACATCCCCCTCCCCGTAGCCAAGCAAATTGCGCATTAACTGAATTTTCGCCACAGCCCACAATCCGCCATCCACACAATCCACAAACCAAACCAGCCAGCAATTTGCAATCCAACAACACAACCCACTCGTAGTGTGTGCTTTATTATGCAGCTTATCTACTTGCATATGCAACACATATTTCCATACATATGTGTGTACAACATCCATAGAAAGTCATGTGTGTGCGTGAATATGTGCAGGAGTGTGTTGGAATTATTTACGATGCTGGTGGATAGCAGGTAACGCAACGCAAATCGCTCATTGATTCTACCATTATCTTTATCTCTCCCCGTTGGACAGATGACGTCAAGTCGCAGCAGTTACGATAGTCACGACCATTTCGATAGGCGATACACACACCCTTATCGCTTATCGAACACATTAATCAAGATAGAAGACATAAATACCTTTCGAATGTATATAAATCATCATAAAACCATCAGACTCGAAGTATCCGACAGGGAAACACCAAAAAACTATCGGGAAAATAAATCCGTTATCAGATTCCACTATCTTTCTCTTACTCGTAGCAGCCCATCCCCTCAAAACCCATTCATTATCTCAAGGTCGCCTAGAGTTTCAGTTTCATACCCATAAAAATACCCTCCCCCTCTAACCAAGTTTAAATATAAAGCGTTCAAAACAACAATTTGGAACAATTTGAAATGAAATCGTGATCGTTTTAGAAGGAAAACTTAATTCAATGTTATAATAACCGATTATAATAAGAACTGATCAAGAATAACACTATATTTCCACGGTTAGGTAGGAATAAATATGTAATGTACATATATGTACATATGTATATATATTTTGTGGGATCGGATTATTGCAATAATCTACCCCTAATGCCCCCATACGCCATTAACACCATGCATAAGTACTCGTCAAACTTTTACTTTGTCTGTGAGTGAATGGAATTAAAAGTAGGTACTAAGTATACACAGTATATACATATGTCCGTATTCATGTGTATGTGATCCGATTTGGGACATGCTGATAATGCCTATGGGTAGGAGTACGAATGAGTACGTATTACGTGCGTCTCGGAATCTCTTACTCACTGTTCGAGTAAACAGAACAGAGCAGAACAGAAGAATGTGTTTGGTTAAGTTTTCGTATCAGATGTGGGGATTACGGGTTGCTGTATTCATCAGTTTTATTTCATCAGGGCGAGTCACACATCGGCTGTGAGTAACACACATTCTGAATAGGATCACGA